CGTCCCTGGCCCCCAGCTGGGCCGCGCACGTGCCGCCAGCCATGATTTGCACCCCCCCTCTCTTGGACGCCCCCCTCTTGGCCGCTCCTGATACAGTCGGCCCAGATTACTAGGTCGACCCTGCCAAATCAAGGGTACATTTTGTGTCCTGTGTCTCGCGACCCGTGTTTCCTGCATTCCTCTGGCAATGTGACCCTCGGAAGGGTCTTGTGTCCTCTCGCGTGTCCTGTCCGATCAACTCCGACTCTACACAGGTTTGGGCCTCTCGCCGGCCTATGCTCACTCGGTAATGGAGACACACGAACGCGCACATAAACGCCGATCCCCAAGAGCATCGGGGAAAACAGGGGAAGTGGAGGGGAAGCCGAAACGCCAGAAAATATGCCCAGACCTAGGGATGCCCTGGATTGATGTCGATTTATTTGTGTGTGTGTGTGTCTCTGGGCCCCTTCATCTGCTTCGTCTTGCCTGTGAGAGGGCTGCTTCCAGGCGCCTCGACCCCTGTGAGAGGCCTGCACTGGAGCCACTCCGGACGAGGTCGAGAAGCGGCGGCAGCCTTTGGAAGGAGAGGCATGGGCAGCAGCAGCCGGATCCGCAGCAGGGGCAGAAGCAGGAGGTAGACGAGGCCGAGGACGGCCAGTCAGATGAGGAAATGGTGCCCGTGCCTCCCAGCCCTGTAGTCGAAAAAGTGGGAAACGAGGGCCTCCCAGGAGTCCTGGGAGGCCCTCGTCGCCGCCGCCGGATTCGCCTCGACATCCTGGTCAGAACGCACCTGGGGAGTAGCAGTATCGGTTTCCTTTGGTCTCCCTAACCAGGAACCAGGACGAGGACCAGGATGAGGGTAGCTGCGAGGACGAGTGCGAGGACTAGTCAGAAGAGCCAGCGAACGGCGTGCTGTTTGGAGCACAGGCACCCGTGGTGTGTTTCCAGTTCCGCATGTCACAGTTCACCTGCAAAGCGTACTTAGCACAGGCTGCGCAGGAAGAAGGCGCGTCCGCTTCCTTCTTCTCTCCTCTCTGCTACCTTCATGTCTCTTTGATCCTCCTTTCTCGTGGTCCTGAGCTTGGTGCTCCTCCTGCTCCTCCTTACCCCTCCCTGCTCCCTCCTCCTCCGCCTCATCCTCATCCTCCTCATCCTCCTCATTCCATGGTGTGTTTTGTTGGTCCTCCTCGGCCTCTAGTTCCCTCTCGTTTTGACATGATGTCCTTCACCAATCTCTCCCTCCCCCTCCCTCCATCCCTCTGTAGCCACCCTTGCATCCTGGCCCTTCGGGCCCATCCCCATCCACTTTGTTGGGGGGCCTTGTGCCGCTAACGATGTTTTTACCGTCGACGTCAAAGAACTATTCGTTGCTTTCTGACCCAGCTGCCTGCAGCGCACCCCGCCACTGCGCTGGTCTTGGGCACCATCTTATTGCCTGCAGACTCTTGCACTTAGCCCCGTTCCCATCTTCGATGTTCTTGTAACCTCGTTCTCGTCACCCCTCCCAAGGTGTGAACTGTAGTGGGTCCCAAACTTCACCTCCTTTCTCCCCTCCTGGACTGCCTCCCATTTTACGAGGAAACGAAGCAAGACTGACGATGCGGAGAAGAATACCAGCTATGAGTAGTGCCAGGGGAACGATGGTGATGAATGAGGGGGAGGATGTTGAACCCAGGCCCGCTCCAGTTTAGTTTCCTGTCTTAAGTGGTGCCGGTCTTGTGCGCTCCATTCTCGCTTCTGGCCCTGGTATCGTAGTCGTTCCGTCGTCCTTGTCTTCCCACCTCCTCCCTCCTGAAAAGGAGGTATCAGGGACTCGTTTTATGTTCGATATGTTCGGGACCTCTTGGGACCCAATTCGGGACATGGGGGGGCGTATGAGGAGTCCGTCGAGGGCCTGGCGCAGCAGCGCAGCAGGAGGGAGGCTGAGTTCAAGACCCGCTCCAGTGCAGTCAGTGCCTTGTTTGAACTGGCGCGAGTCTTGAAGACCCCCTCGTTTTCTTTCCGGCGTCCCCCCTATTTATTTCTTGAAGGCATATTGGGCACCTCTTGGGGGCTCTGTCGAGCTCCCTTGGGCGCATAGTTGAGCTTCTCGCGAGCCTCCTGGGGGTCCGTCGAGTGCATCGGGGCCGTTTGGGGCGTGATGTTTCCACTGAGTCTTTTTTTTTGTTTTCCCCTGAAGAAGCCAGAATGAACCATAGTTCCACAATCAGTGCTTGCACTGAAGGGGTCCTCGCGGAAAATGAAAGATTTGGCGAACGTGTCCCGCCGATTTTGGTGGCTGGCTGGGTTCCCGGGTTCCTGGTTCCGGATTCCTGGGTTCCTGGTTATTGGTTCTGGGCCGATTTCGGTGGGTTCCAGGTTCCCCGGTTCCCAGGCGATCTCGTTATCGAAAACCATCCACTGATAGGGTTTTTCCATGGTGTAATGGGGAAGTCTTGGCAGGACTTGCGGCCGTCTTGGATCCCCCATGGGCTACTTGGGGGCAATCACGCATTCTTGGAGTCGTCTTGTGGCGCTCGTGGGGTCGTCTTGGGTCCCAGTTGGGGCTGCCTGTGGCTCTGCGAGCTTGCCCCCAGTCGACCCGACGCCGAGCAGCACCTGGACACAGCGCAGGGAGCATCGTTTCGTTGTGCCACGTGCTTCGGACACGAGGGCCTGAGCAGGGGCCTCTTCTGGCACCTCGTGTCGGCTTCTACTCGGGGGTGGACAGAACCCCCAACAGTGACAGGTCGATTAGTGAATTGTCCGTTCTCGGTTCTCGAGAGGGCGCCGTGGCCGTTATTTTCCAGACTTGCGCCCGCCAGGTTTGGGCCTCAGGTCGTCTTCACTAAACCACGTTTTACTAAAGGGGGGTCTGTCCATCCCCGATCTACAGTCGAGACTGATTGGTAGGTCGACCCTGCCAGATCGAGGGTACCCTTGTGTCCGGAGCCTCGCGATCGATGCCTTCTCACATTCCCATGGCACGGTGGCCCTCGGTGGCCTCTTGTGTCCCCTCGCGTGTCCTCTCCAATCAACCCCGACTGTGGGGGGCCCTCCTGTGGGCACAGTGGGGAGACCATGGGGCCTGGGGAGGGGGGGCTCACTGAGCCGCCTCTGGATTGCCGTGCGGCGTCTTGCAGCCGTCTGGGGCCCCAGCTTCGGAGCGTGTGCCCCCCCAGGGCTGTCTTGGGCCACTTTTTGGGGGGGTCCGTCCCTGGTCGTCTTGGGGCGATTCTGGAAGGGCTCCGACTCCAGGCGGACTCTGGTCGGCCTGGGAGCTACCTGATGCCGACAAGCATCGGCGCATTCTAACACGCACAGAGTGCTGAAGTCTCGATGGTAGCGCTTGCATTCTTGTCATAGGGTGCTGAGTCCATCTCGTTGCCTCTGCCCTCGGTTCCGATGTATGCAACCTCACTGGTGTATACAATGAGACCCCTTGTATCCATTGTTGTATGCACCATTATGCATACTTGTATATGTCCCTCACGGTCTCTCCGCTTGTTGCTGCTTTTCATGTCTCCTTCTTGCTCCTGCTCTGTTAAGTCGGTCAGTGTCCCGTACTTCGCTTTCTTCCTGTTTCCTTCCTCATGCTGATATGTATCGATGTACCCTCCCCCCACGCGCCTCCCAGTCAGCTTGAGAGACACCGCCCTTGTTGAAGCACGATCGCCCCTCATATTATCTTTGGTCTGCCTCCGCTGAGCAGTCGGAAAATTATGAGGAGAAGACATATGAGAGTGGAGGACGGGGCGGATGAGGAGGGGAGGATGGGAAAGGGGGAGGTTGGGAAGGGGGGGTATGAGGATGAGGGTGAGGATTGCGGCCGCTTCAGCGTTCTCGCGTCCATTGCAGCGGTATGGGGCAGATTCTGGTGGTGGCTCCCAGCGGAAGGATGAGTAGGAGAAGAGCAGGATAGGGGGTGATGCAGACATTGAGAAGGGTGGGAATGGTGACGACTATGAGAGCGAGGACGGGACCGATGAAGACGAGTACATATGACGAGGACGGGGACGACAACAGGGATTGGATTAACGACGAGGACAGCGACGAGGGCGAGGATGGTACCGAGGTCGAGGATGAGGACGATGATGAGGAACCCTAACCCCTAAACCCGAAACCCTAAACCCTAACAGCGACGAGGGCGAGGATGGGACCGAGGTCGTGGATGAGGACGATGATGACGAGCAGGACGAGGAGGGAGGGGGAGAAGGGACGATGCGAGACCATAAGGAGGGCAAGGGGGAGGAGGAGGAGGAGGAGGAGGAGGAGGAGGAGGAGGAGGTTACGCGGTGTGGCGCAAGACCTCTTGTAGACGGTACTTGGCCGTGCTGCCCCCCACGCATGGCCGGCGAGTTTGCGGCGCGGCGGACGCATTTCATATTTGCCTGGTCTTGCTGGCCATCTAACCTGTTCGAACGGGTTGGGTGCCAGGAGGGAGGAGGAGGAGGAGGAGGAGGAGGAGGAGGATGAGGAGGGGAGGGGGGCGGGAGGGATAGAGGGAGGAGGCGAGAGGAGAAAGCGGGCGTGGAGGTTGGAATGTTGGCGGAATGTTGTCCGGCAAGAGAGGCTGCTGTAGGCTTGTGGAGGACGAGCAATGGAGAGGAAGCATGCTGCCAAATAATTTCCAGATGTCCAAGACATGTGTTAAACATGTTTTAAGCATTGAACATCATGTCTTGAACCTGTTTAGAACATGCTCCCGACAGTTTAAACACATTTTGAATTCAATGATAGGACTGTTAGGGTGTCCATTGTCGTGGCATTCAGAAATGCAGGCTCCAGGTAATTCGCCGCAGGCCGTCCGAAGGTATGGGGAACTCCTCGGGCACCGTGCTCGACGGGATCTCTCGCGTTGCTTGGCACGCGGCCTCTGCGTCCCTCCCCCCATCCCCCGCTGGAGGAGGAGGAGGAGGAGGAGGACGAGGATGAGGAGGAGGAGGAGGAGGTGGCGGAGGAGGAGGCGGAGAAGGAGGGGGAGGAGGAGGAGAGGGAGGAGGAGACGGAGGAGGAGGAGGATGCCTCCTCCTCGGCAGGGTCCCAGCACCTGAAGCTGCAGACGGTCTTCGAGGACGCGGCGCCGCAGCTCGCATTGTCGCCACTGTCGCGGCCTATGGGGGAGAGACGGGAGGAGAGAGAGAGAGAGAGAGATAGAGAGAGAGAGGACTACATGGTAGATGGTTATTTCAATAACGGAGCATTATAATGCAGTCTAGTAGAACATTTGAAGAACACAGATATCGTAACATATGAGAGAGGATCAAGTGTAGAGAGAAGGATGTAGCAAACATGAGGCGGGAGAGGAGTGGGAGTGCAGGGGGGAGAGGAGCGGGAGAGGAGGGGTGCAGGGAGAAGAAGGCGAGGTGCGAGAGAGAGAGAGAGAAAGCCAAACAAGTAAGCAAACACACAAGCCAGTTATAACTATACAGGAAGCGCACATGCATGTATGCCTGGGATACTTAGGTGTGCATGTGTACATTTATATGTATGTGTATAGATAGATACATCGATATGCATGTGTACGTAGATCCATGTAGTGAGTGGGAGGGTAGCGGGACAGGGAGAGGGAGCGTGAGCGGACTGGGGAGCGACGATGACGGGAGAAGGGGTGCGAGAGAGGGGAGGAGAGAGGGGGGAGACAGGGTGGGGCGAGCGGTGGCAAGGCGAGGAGGGTGGGATGAAGGAGGAGGTGGGTGAGACATGGTAGGGTGCGGTGGTGGAGGAGGCGGCGGGGATCAAGCGCTTCTCGATTCGTCGGCAGGTGCTGCCGGCCAGTGCCATGTCCAAGGCAAGAGAGCATGAATCAAGACTCTGGGAACCGCTGGAGTCAGGAGGGGAAAAAATACACAGGCACAACTACTCGACGATACCCAGGAACATATGGGATAATATGATAAGTGTGGGGGGGGGGGGGGGGGGGGGCAAAAACCCAGAACATATATATATATATATATACACATACATATATATATATGTATATATATAGATGAAACTCTGAGGAATCCTCGGAGTTGTGTCTATTTATATCTGTGTCCCAGGGCCTCTTCATGGAGACGCGCGGGTGGTCCACGGAGGCCACACAGGCGACCTCGGGAGGCCTTCCCGGACCTCAGCAGGCCTCGGCACGTGTGGTTGTCGATGGTTGTTCTAGATCTCTTCAATGGCAGAGTGGTATGGGTTTGCTTTCTCCATGTTTAGCGACGCATAACGACGTTGTGTGTTCTTTTGGTTGTGTCTCTCTCTCTCTCTTTCTCCCTCTTGTCTCTATCTCTCTCTCTTATCCCTCTCTTCTTCTCTCCCTCCATCTCTCTGTCCCTTGTCAAGTTTGCGGTCCGAGGGCTCTCTGTTGCGCCCTACCAAAGTCATCGAAACATCGAGCATGGCAAACACGCTCGCCTGCAAGGGATTTCAGGATGTCGAAGGTCTGAGTTCGATGAGGTGAAGACTGCTCTCTCAGTCGAGGAGGAAGGAGGGGAGACAAATGAGTAACATGATGAAGTGGACACGCTCACGAGGACGAGGACGAGGATGTGTGCAACGAGGACGGACAAGAGTGTTTGTTGCACCCGGCCTCCGCCAGGTCAGTGATGAATAAGGCTGCAGGCTGCTCGGAAGCCCTGCTTGGCCTGGTGCCGCGCCAGCCACGAAGAGCCTCGCGGAAGGCCTCCAGCCGACCCATCTCATCGGCGCGAAGGGCAGCAGGAGGAGGAGGACGACGAGGAGGACGACGAGGAGGAGGAGGACGAGGAGGAGGAGGAGGAGGAGGAGGAGGAGGACGAACAGGAGGAGGAGGAGGCGAAGGAGGCGGCGACGACGACGACGAGAAGGACGACGAGAGGGACGGCGAGACGGAGGACGACAGCGAGGTGCGCTGCTGCCGCTTGCGCGCCCCGTCCGGGCCCGCCGGTGCTGCGCGCCCCGGTCCGCCAGGACAACCGGCGCTCGCTCGGCGAGGAGCAGCGGTGCGCCCCCCCGGCCGCCTCTGGCGGCTGTGGGTTTCCCGCCGGTGGCCCTGCTCCCCGGTTGTGTCTTCTAGAATCTCGTCTCGATGGTCCTGAGGGTCCTGACATCGCTCGGACGTGTGCGTTTTTTCCTCGGCGAGGGCCATCGAGGAGCATCCCTGATCATTTGGCGAGAACCACGCACGAAACCGAACAAAAACACAGGGAATGGACGTCCGAGCGATGGCCAGGGGCGGGTGTGGGCCCAATGTGTGTTTACCCCGTTCAGCCCAACCGGACGATCACCGCATCGCCTTCCTCGTAGTGAGGGGCCTCGGTGGGCAAGCACCCGTTGGCGCGAACACACGTTCTGAGGATCGGGCCGGACGAAAGTAGGGGATTGGGAAAGGGGGGGTTACGAAATTTGCTGCATGCAGCTGGTTTCGGCCCCGCCGCCGGGCCCATTCCTGGATACATAAGCGCCTCCGGCTCCAGAAGGCGCCGGGAAAATCAGCTATGTGAGCTGATTCTCAAACCCCCCCTTTGCTATCCCCCCCTTTCGCCCGACCCGAGAGGTCATCGATCGTCCCCCTGTGCCATGAGGTCCCTAATGATGTGTCGAGGCATATTGGTATGGATACCCGTACTCTGCTTGGCGCATGCCTCTGTGACTGTTACCGTCGTGGCTGGGCCGCCGCAGGCCGGCACTTGCCCGCCTCTCTCCGGGACGGAGGACGGACGAGTCGTCTCTCGTCTCGTCTCGTGCTCCTGGCCGCCCTTCTTCTCTTCGGGGTCTATGAGTTCCTCGTTGTCCCTCCTCCCTTGTCGTCGACATCCTCCCCCCCATCGGTCTCATGCCCCTCCTCTTTTCCCCCATCCGCCCCTCTCTCCGCCTGCTTTCACTCTAGAGGGAAGAGGCGGTGGATGGTGATGGTGATGGTGTTGCGGATGATGGTGGTGCGATGGTGATGGTAATATGGTTGTTGGTGATGGTGACGATGAGGTTGATGTCGATGATGATGATGATGATGATGATGATGAGGATGAGGACGAGGACGAGGATGATGATGATGATGATGATGATCATGATGATGATGATGATGATGATGATGATGATGATGATGATGATGACGGTGATGACGGTGATGCTGATGCTGATGCTGATGTTGATTATGATGTTGATGCTGATGCTGATGCTGATGCTTACGCTGATGATTTTGATGATGATGGTGGTGATGATAGTGGTGTTGCCGATGATGATGATGATGATGATGATGATGATGATGATGATGATGATGATGATGATGATGATCATGATCATGATCATGATCATGATGGTGATGGTGATGGTGATGGTGATGGTGATGGTGATGATGATGATGATGATGATGATGATGCTGATGATGATGATGATGATGATGCTGATGGCTGATGATGATGATGATGGTGACGGTGACTATGTTGACGGCTTTGGTTTGCTGGTATGAGATTGAGGATGGTGGTGATTGTGATGATTGCGATGGCGATGGCGATGGTCTTGTCGGTGCTGGTGACGATGCTACGGATGGTACTGGTGATGACCACGCCTTCGGCTACAACGACGACGCTGGCGGTGATCATGGTGTCGATGATGGGACTGACGACGTCGACGACGACGATAATGAGAATGGGGATGATGATGCTGATGCTGATACCAGTGGTTGTGACGATGATCACGGTTGTAATGATGGTGGTTGCAGTGATGAGGATGGTGATGATGATGAAAGTGAGGTGGATATGGTGGACGAAGATGAGGACGATGAGGCTTTTGAGGAGGAGGTGGAGGAAATGGCGGGGCAGGAGGAGGAGGAGGAAGGAAAGGAGGAGGATCAGCAGCAGCAGGAGCAGCGACCGCCCCAGCAGTCGGCAGCCAGCGGCATCACAATCAGCAGCTGTCCACGAGACGTGCGGGCGTCTGGGCGACCGCGCTGAGGGGCTGCTCCACCACTGCGCGTCGAGGGAGGCAAGTGGAACGGGGGGGGAACCTGCTCGATGGCGAAGCGGCCCCTGCCCCGCGCCCTTTGCCGTGCTGCCCGGGGCCTCCGAGGTACTTCGTGGCGAACGAATGGAATGCGACCAAGAGGTGCCGCCACCGACCAGCGGCTCCGAGGAGGAGCAGAGGGAGGAATAGGAGGAGCAGGGGGTGTCACAGTTCGCGGGCGGGGGGCCGTGTGAAGTAAGGTCTTCCGCGGTTGGGGACACCCGCTTCCCGAGCGTCTGGGAAGTTTGTACCCCTGCTGGCCACCGTGGGGGGCATTGGCTTCCCAGTCGCCTTGGGACAGGCGACCCCGTTCGCTGACACGTGTGCCTGAATTCTCGTCGCCCGCCGGCACAGGTTCGGTTCGTTCCGATGCGCTCGAGCGCCTCTCTGGGTCGCCCGCGGCGGCTCGAGGAGGTCCGCGCCGAGTGTTTCGAAATCTGGTCTCCTCCTCTTCCTGCTCCTCCTCCTCCGCCTCCTCCTTCGCCTCCTCCTCCTCCTCTCGACGAGTTCGCCTCTGTCACGGGCGGCGGCGGCGCGAGAGCGTGAAGGCGACCATGCTTCGCACCTCGTGCGGCGCGAAGCGGGGCGCCGAAGTGACCGTGAACATATGTTTTTTTCCCGAGCGCTCGCGGATAGAACCAAGTCGGGCCTGTCCCCCCACAGGGGGATTTTCGACGAAAAATAGAACATGCACCCAAACTAGTAAAGACATAGTCCAGAAATAGTCTCGGGACTATTTTTTGAGTACTGTTTGACATGTTTGGGGTATGATGGGGGTATGTTTTATTTTTCGTCGAAAATCCCCTTGTGGGGGGACACGCCCGACATAAGGATAGAGGTGGTCGGGGTGCGAGTCGGCGAGCGAGGGGCGCGAGAAGGATGGGGGACTTCCCAGAAGGCGGCGGGACATCTCAGAAACCCCTTGGCCTTCTGCTATTTTCGCGCCGTCGGGGAATGCTCAGAAAACTCCTTGGAAGGCCCGAGGCCTTCCGAGCCTTCTGAGGAGGCCCGTCTGAGGAGGCCCGCCCCCTCTCACTTCCCCCCGGGCGCGCTGTCGATCTCGAGAGGCCGGGGGGGGGGGGGCTCCACGACCAGGGAGTGCCCCGGAGGGGGCCTGGCTCGCCCAGAGCATCCGCGGGGAGGGCCAGGGGACGTGGGAGGGGGAGGAGGAGGAGGAGGAGGAGGAGGAGGAGGAAAGGAGGGAGGGAGGAGGGAGGGAGGGAGGGAGGGAGGGAGGGAGGGAGGGAGGGAGGAGGAGGAGGAGGAGTAGGAAGGAGGTGCCCCAATAGGCACTGCTTTGCGCTTCAGCGCACGGGCTATAATGCGTGCGGGGGCGCGGGGCACTACGCACGGGACCTCCTCCGTACCCCCCTTTTTTTTTTTAACATGATAATCTACCAATAGCGCGCGGGAGCGCGAGCGCGCGCGGAATAATACGGATGCGCATCGCATGCGCCGCACAAACACGATCATGCCTTATTAGGAAAAATGAGGGAAACCATACAAGGGGGCAGATGAGCAGGAGCAGGAGGAGCAGGAAGATCAGGGGAAGGCGGAGGCGGACACAGGATTTAGTCGGATCCAAAATGTGGCCCGCGCTCGGGCGAAGCTGACGGGCCTGTTTTCCACCACAACCACCATAGGTTGGAGGAGAAGAGAGTCCTCCTCCTGAGGCGGGGCCATGTGGTCCGTAAGTCCCTTGGGACCTTGTGTCCGATTCGGCAGGGGTGACGGTCGGGAAGTACTGCGCGGTGACGCGGTGAACCGGCTGTCCCCTTACGCACCACGCCGTCCCGGTTGGGCAGCGAGTCGCTGAGCGACGAGGTATCTGTCTTTCCCCTGACCGTCGGTGCTGGCGCCTGCGGGCCCCTTCCTCCTGTCTGGGAGGCCGAGGGTGACGGTTGAGCCTCGTTCGCCGTTCATTTCTTGGATCTACGACGTTCATGACACTCCTCCTCCTCTTCCTCCTCCTCCTCGTCCTTCCCTCTCTCCAACCTACGGTGGTGGTGGAAGGCCCATCAAGTGCGCCGTTCTATATCGGCGGAAGGTTGGCATTACGCCCAGTATCGTTCAACCAGCCCCCATCCCCATCCTCCTCTGGGGATGGGTGTCGGACAAACGATGCTCACACGCTGCAGTGCGAGCGCCCTGCTGGAAGGCCCAGGCGCCCCGGCAGAGACCCCTCTGAAAAATGTCAGCCCGCGGAGGCCCGTGCGCGGGGAGTGGCAACACGCGACGAGGAGGGGCGGGAACACCTGTCAGGGGAGGCGGGGGAGCAGTGCCCACGTCGAGCCTCTACAAGGAGGAGTGGGAGAGGCAGGGAGGAATCGGGGGACGGATGGGCTGAGGGAGGAGGAGGAGGAGGAGGACGAGCAGGAGGAGGAGGACGAGGAAGAGGAAAAGGAGGAGCACGAGCGAGATCCATGCCTCGGTTTCTGCCCACGAAGGGCCAGCGCGTGGTCAGCAGGCCAGCTCAACTGCACTCATGGCGCACCAATCCTGCAGTGGGCTGTTTTACCCCTAAGTGTCCCCCTCACCCCCACCTGCACTTACACCAATCCTGGGAGTCATTGTTCCCGTCACATTCCTCCTCATCCTCCCTCGACCTCGTCCTCGTCCTCCTCCTCTTTCCCCCCTCTGCTTCACTGCTCGTCCAAATCCCCGTGTCTCCTCTGCCTTTTTTTCCCTGCTCTTTCCCCCTCCTCTGCAATTGCGCCACTTACGTGCTGCTCTCCTGTCCCTTGTCAGTGTTCTGTGCTTGTTGTCGCCCGCCTCTCCCGGACATTGTTCCGTTGACCAGCGATCCCGATGTCCTTCTTGATCGGGCCCTCCTATTCGGGATGTTATTTCCGATGCCGGTTCTTCCGTTCGGGCCGTCTGCGACCGCTCGCTTGCGTGGCCGTCCCTCACACGGAGAATGAAGATGTCGAGGGAGGTTCGGTGCAAGTCATGGGAGCCTCCCATTCCATCTTGTCGGCTCTTGCGATTCGACGTTAATCGACGCTAAATCGACGCTAATCGACGCTAGTTCGACGCGAGTTCGACGCTCGATCGACGTTAGTCGACGCAATTCGACGCTAAATCGGCGCTATCTCTTGGCGCGTGGGCGCCTTGGCCGCGGCGGCCGCCGCCGCCGCGCCGCCGCCCACCGTGGGCGGGCGGCCGCCGCCCTCGTGCGGGGCGGAGCTCGGCGGCCAGCGCTCGGGCGGGCGCGGGCCTGCGCCGCCCTCCCACGCTCGCCCATCCTCCCTCGGCCCTTCATGCTCCTCCTCTCCCCTTCCTCCTCCCCTGCTCCCCCTTCCTCCCCCTCCTCTTCCCCCTTCCTCCTCCCTCTCGCCTTCCTCCTTCTGTCCCCATCCCCCCCCTCCCCCCTCTCCTTCCCCCCCTCCTCCGTCTCCCACTCCTACTCTCCCTCCTCCCCCCTCCCCGCCTCCTCATCCTCCCCCTCCTCCGCCTCCTCCGTCCTCCCTCCCTCTCTCTCTCTCTCTCTCGTTCCCTCCTCCGGCGGCGACGGCGACGACACCTGCCCAGCGCCGCGCGTCCGCAGGTACACCCGCCTGAAGTGCGGCTCTGGGGGCGCAGGGCGCAGCAGCGTGCCCGAGCCCCCGCCGCCGCGGGGGGGTGGAGCATTCTCTTCCGCCTCACAGGGGGAGGGACGATTCGAACACAGTCGGCCCGGATAAGTAGGTCGACCCTGCCACATCAAGGCTACCTTTGTCTCCTGTGTCTCGCGACCCGTGCCTCCTGCATTCCCATGGCAATGTGGCCCTCGGGAGGGTTTCTTGTCCTCTCGCGTGTCCTGCCCACTGAAGTCCGGCTGTAATACTGAAATACAACGGCATAAACATAAACTTTTGGCGCTCCGCGCGGATTTCTTGGGTCCGCGCTGGGCCCCACCGGCGGCGCCTCCGGCGTGGCCCCTGGCGCGTTCCGCGCGCCAGGCAGGGGGCTCCGGGGCGGATGCAAGAAATCCGCGCGGGGCGCCAAAAGTGTAGGTTTCGGTCCTCTGCTTTTGCTCTAACAGTTCAGGATGCGCATGGGAAGCTGGAGCTGCAGGAGGAAGACGAGGGAGGCGGACGAGGGAGGATGAGGGTGAGAAAGGCTGCTATCAGGGGGGGGGAGGTGGACGACACAGTGGAAGGAGGAGGAGGAGGGGGGAGGTGGGCCATGAGAGGAGGGGGAAGAGGAGAAGGGGGAGGGGAGCATCGTACTCATCGTCCTCTCATTTCCTCCCCCCGACAGCGCTTGCTCTCAGGGTTTCTTGCTTTTGTTCTAAAGCTACTCGGCCCCAGGCCAGTGCGGCTGGCCCGTTGCCGCCCGTCGACGCCGTCGCCGCTGGGCCTCAGTGCCGGTCTGGCCTGCTCGCCGCCGCCCGTCGCCGCCGTCGACGCCGTCGCCGCTGGGCCCCAGTGGCGGTCTGGCCGACTTGTCGCCGCCCGTCGCCGCGTCGTCTGGTACTGCTTCGCATGATTTACAATGCATCGCCAGGCATTGCTCGGCGTTGCATTGCAATGCACGTCTTTGCAATGTGTTGCATTGCGTTGCGTTGCATTGCGTTGCTTCGCTTTGCATTGCTTTGCACTGCTATGCATTGCTTGGCATTCCGTTGCGTTGGTCTGCATTATTGCGCATTGCTTTACATTGCCGTGCATTGTGTTGCATTGCGTCGCAGTTGGTTTGTATTATGTTGCATTGCGTTGCATAGTTTTACATTGCTTTGCATTGCTTTGCATTGGTTTGCCGCCGGCGCCGCTAGGTCGCAGTGGTGGTCTGACCAGTTCGTCGCAACGCTGTTGTGCATTGTGTTGTATTGCTTCGCATTGATTTGACTGACCTGCATCGCAATGCATTGTCTTGCATTGCTTTGCATTGGCTTGCATCGCTCAGCACAACATCGATTGCTTGCATCACCTAGGTTGCATCCAATTTGCACCACCTGGCTTGCGCCTCATATATTCCAGGGCACCACTGTATCGGGTGCACAGTGCACGCTGGCTAACATGTTCGTGTGGACTGGCTAGTTGAGCCGCCAGTAGCGACAGCACCAGAGCTTGCCGACGACTGAAACAACTAGCACGGTGTGGCGGGGAATCATACACTGACCCTCCCTGTAGCACAACGAGGAGGTACAAGGCGGGAGGACATGCTACTCAGCTCCCATCCGTCTTCCTACCACTTCTTCCACTTCTTCTTCCTTTCGTATCCTCGATGTCCTCCCCCTCTCCCTCCTCGCCTCCTTCCCCCCCCTCTTCTCATCATCCGCATTCGGCTCCTCGCCTTCTCGCTCTCCGCTTCCTCCCTCTCCTCCGCCTCCCCCTTCTCTCCGGGCAGAGCGCCTCCCCCCTTTGCCTTTTGGTCTCCCCTTCTCCAGGCAACCCCCTCGTCCCAGACGAGGGGTGCGGAGGGCAGGCAGGGCGAAAGAAGAGGGGAAAGATGCGGGGGAGGCTCGGAGGAGTACGTCAGGGCCCGACCTTAACGCTGTTTTGCTGGACTTCGGTTGTGTCTTGTTTTTCGTTTTGACAGGGAGGCAGCGCAAAACGAAACACATGACGAAAGCACAACGGAAAAACAGCGCTGAGGTCCAGCCCTGGAGTGTATGGGATGATTGCGAGGTGGAGGAGCAGGAGGAGGAAGCGAGAGGTCGGTTGGCTCGCCACCAGGTCGCCCGCCCCTCTACTTGGTAAGGTTGTTGTGGAGTGATAGGGGAACAAAAAGTGGCATTAACATAAAAACTCTGAGGTCCGCGCGGATTTCTCGGATCGGCGCTGGACCCCCTCCCTGGCGCGCGGAGCGCGCCAGGGGCGGCGCCGGAGGCGCCGCCGGGGGGCCCCAGCGCCGATCCGAGAAATCCGCGCTGACCTCCGAGTTTTTATGTTAATGCCACTTTTTGTTCCCGTAAGTGAGGACTTGTTCGCTTCGGGGCCCTCGCGCCCTCGCGCTGGCACTCCTCGCGGCCGCAATCCGCCGCGCAAAACGGCAGGGTGCCGGCAGCGCAGGGTGCCGCCAGGACCCTGCCGCCCCGGCGTGGCAGCGGCGCGGGCTTTCGGAGGCCGAACGCTTTCACGACCCACATTCAAGCTCCTCCTCTTCCCCTCCTCCTCCTCCTCCTCCGCCTCCTCCTCCTCCTCCTCCTCCTCCTCTCCTCCTCCCTTCTCCCCTCCTCCTCCTCCTCCTCCTTCCTCCCTCCTCCTCCTCTGCCGCCTCCTCCTCCGCTCCTCCTTCCTCCTCCTCCTCCTCTCCTCCTCCTCCTCCTCCTCCTCCTCCTCCTCCTCCGCCTCCTCCTCCTCCTCCTCCTCCCTCCTCCTCTGCGCGAAGTCCACGCGAGAGATGGGGTCGTCAGCGCATGGTGTGGCAGCGTTCGGTTCGCACGGCGTCTGGAGCCAGGGCCGACGCCTCGACGGAAGAATCTCGGGCCGGACGAAAGGGGGGGATTCGGAAAGTGGGGGGTTCGAAATCTGCTGCATGCAGCTGGTTTCGGCCCCACTCAGGGGCCCATTCCTCGATACATGGGCGCCTCCTGGCGCGGGGAGGCGCCGGGAAAGTCAGCTACGTGAGCTGATGCTCAAACCCCTTCTTTTGCTATGATTATCCCTCCTTTCGCCCGGCCCGAGAAACCTTGTCTAGCGCCTTTCACGAGATGGGCACCGTGACATCTGGAGGCATGGCGTGGCAGCGATGATGTGAGAGACGAATCGTTGGATGTTTTAGTTTGTTTGGTTGTGTTCCTCTCTCTCTCTCTCTCTCTCTCGCTCTGTTTAGTCATTGGTGCGCATGGATCATCTGCATATTTGGGCCCTTTGTGAACATGTGTTGGTGTGTGTGTATAGTGTTGTAGCGCGTCTGCGTTGCCTTGTCTGGAGAATGGACAGCAATGATTCCAATAATGCGCCGTTCAGGCTCGCAGCCGGGAGGCCACAGAGGGGGCCAGCGAATTGGCGTTTCTCACAAATTTGGCTCTCCCAAATGGCTCCTGGCAGAAACCCAAGAAGGCCCCGATATGCCACCAAACCAACCCTCAAGTTCGAAGGCCAACCCAACAAGACTTTGCGTACATGCCCCGAGTGTGGCGTGGCTGACCCCTAAATTTCCAAGTGTCCGAAGGGCCCCAAAAAGCACCCCCAAGAGAGTCACTCGACAGCCCCAAGATGCCCCAAAGAAGGATTCACGAGGATCCCCAAACGGCCACCGCCCCGCATCGCCAGCGACCGCCGAGGAGTAAATCGTACTCAAGCAGTGGTGAAGCGTCCTGGTTCGCCTATAGGCCCACCAAAGGATATTCTTATAACCTTTCGTGGTCTGCACGAAATGTCCTCAGAACACTTCTGGCTGAGATTGTCTTGGCTTATGAGAACTCTGGCTTATGAGCACTCTTGGCTTATGAGAACATGCCGTGGTAGGCCTACAGAAATGCTGGGACGGCCGGTCCCTGCTCAAGAGACTCCTCCCCGGCTGGCTGGCGAAGGGGAAAAGCGGATTGGCCTGAATCACATGTCTTACTTAAGTCGGGCCTGTCCCTCTACAGGAGGGTATCCCAAAATCGTGAAAACATAACCTGGGGACGATGTCTTCACAATTTTTCAGAGCGTGAATTACCTACCCCGCTTTCGCTTCCAGGCAAAACCAAGCCATACCACGCGCCTCCTCGTCAAGCGGCCTGACCAGCACAGGCTGCAATTTGGCATCGTTTGGTATCTCTTGGAAGCGAGGGTGGTCCAAAGCGAGGTAGGCTTGTTTTTTCCATAAGTTTCGAGCATTTTAGGGCACTCGTTGGCTATGTTCCATTGCTCGCCCCAAAAATCCCCCCTGCAGGGGGAGAGGCCCGACCCGACACGTGGCACGCTTCGCCTCGCCCGCCCGGCTCCGCAGCCCGCGGCGGCCGCGGTTGGCTCGGTCTGGCGAGCGTGTCGACGCCGCGGCCGGCGCCGCCCGGACCTGCTGCCCTGCCAGTGAGAGCGCTGCAGGGGGTGCTTCCTGAATTTGACGAACTAACAACACACACCCATACCCATAGGGTCGTTGGGAGGAGGACTGGCTGTGGGTGTGGGTGCGGGCTGTCTGACCCTGGGGAACGCTCCCGTTCGAGCGGGGACCCCCATCCGACAACACGCACCCATGGCCCTCTCCGATCCCCCTATGGGTATGGGTGTGTGTTGTTGGTTTGTCAGAATTGGGGGGGGAGAAGGGAACGTTCGAGGGTTCAGCAGGGTGATGGGGGGAAGAGGAAGGAGAAGGGGAGGGCGGGGAGGAGGTCTCTTCCTCCTCCTCCTCCTCCTCCTCCTCCTCCTCCTCCTCCTCCTCCCCGTCCTCCTCCTCCCCCTCGTCATCGTCGTTCTCGTCCTCCAGGCAGCGCGAGCAGTCTCCTGGACTTCCCTCACAAGGCTTGTGTGGCTCGAGGGCAACCCATCCCAGTGCACGGCAACTCCGCCTCCTTCTTCTCTTCTTCCTCCTCCTCGGTGCACTCAGCCTTTTCTGAACTTCGGCCCCGGAGCATGCGAGAGCAGCGCGGCAGCGATGTCGCATCGCGAGCACGTACGTGAAGCAGATCGTGGAGCTGGGCAAGCAGGCTTCGCCCGCGCTGTTCGGGGGGGGGGTG